AGTACAGAGTAAACATGCACCGCCGAGATCGCGACTGATTACACTTTACAGACACAAAGAATTCCTTCGCCTGAACACTCACCAGCCGATCTCCTGCATACCTGACCGGCAAGTTGCCTCAATGATCTCTCACAGCTAGGTGGGGAGTCAGAAGGAAAATGTGATATTTTGATAAATATAGGACTGATATCTACTGGTCCTGGGTGTCATTCTTGGAAGGCGTACTCAGCAAGAAATGCCTGGCAGAACTTCCAGGTAAGAAGACACGAACTGCAACACATGATGTGGTCATTTCAGCAATAAACCATCGTGGTATCTGCTTCTTGAACTTATATCATGGTTTATGTATCGTTTTATCTATATCTACCAGATATGAAGTTAATGGCATGAAACTCTCATCTTCACATTTTGTTAACGTGATATCACTGAATCCATGTATACAAGAAATGCATTCAAAATCCCCTGAAACCAAAACAGGATAAAAGTAAAACCAGCATCAGACATGCATTGTATCAGAGGAGTATCATAGCCTAATGTCATGTTGATAAATATACATACAACGTCAACGACATTTTGAATAATACGTGCCCGTTTATAAGTCCTTTATTGCCAAAGGCAACCCCCATGAAACACAATGTCTCACACGGTATTTATAGAATAACATCTTGATGTATGAGCCCAACGTAGCAAATGTGACTTCAAACGCATATTATATTTACCTATACAGATGTATGAAGAGATCCACCATGTCTGGACAGAGGGCGCAGTAGGATAGCTCACTGGTTTCGCAACCGAACGTTGTTGTATTCTGAGCGGCATGACGCGGAGGTAAACTTCGTACAGTAGCAAGTAATCCGTATTGGCTGTTCATTGCTATCACAAACAGTATATGTGGCTGCACAGCGTCTAGATGAATTACACCCATGCTGAGTGTTATCCTTCCTCAAGGACACCTTTGAATTATTCTTTCACAGCGTGTGTGTGTGTGTGGTGACATGCCTTGCCCTGCCGACATCCTTCCCCTTGATTATTTGTAAACGTAATGTCATTGATGGTACTTGTTTACATCGTGATATCACTTAATGGTAAATTGTTTCATATCGTGATTTTAATGATGGTATTGTTTCATACGGATATCATTGCTTGTATTGTTTCATACCTTGATATCATTGATGATATTGTTAAATACCTGACAACATTGATTGTATTAAAATTATACCTGATATCACGATCGTACGAAGCCCCATACCTTGATATCATTGATGGTATTGTTTCATACCGTGATATCATTGGCGGCAGCCAAAGTCATATCGTGATTTTATTGATGTTTCATACGCAGATTTTAAAGCTGATGATGTTTCATACCGTGATATCATTGACGGTCATTCTATACCCTAACACCATTGATGGTATTGTTTCACACCTTTGACATTGATGGTATTGTTTCACACCGTGATAATCATTGGTGGTATTGTTTCATGCCATTTCCCATATTATTGATGTTGATGTTTCATATCGTGATGGGTGTGTAGTAAAGCATTCAAGCTCTGTGACTCGAAGACCCGGGTTTCACCCCACTTAGGTACAACGTGTGAAGCCCATTTCTGGTGTCCCCGCCATATTAAGGAAGACGATAAAAGCGGCGCCACTCACACCATGCTATCATTGATGGTACCGGGCATGTTTATCCTCATGTGAACACCTGGTGTCATTCTGATTTGCAGTGATCCATTCATGTAATTCTAACAGCTATCACCCCTTTACAAAAGAATTTGTTTCTGGGGATAGAAAAACTGGCAGCATTTCCTGATCAGTCGATGAACATAACCTAGTCTAGCGGCATTACCCATCTGAAGAAAGATCAAACTTCCATTACCTTCCAAGTAAGGGAAAGCTTTTTGAGTTTTCTTTGATATCCAATGAAACAAACTCGACACTCGAGAGGAATTTAAATTTGTATCGACTGATGTTGAAAAACATGGGAGTGGAGATTCAAGCTTAAGTTTGTAAACACTGTAACCAGTGTCCTCAAATACAGCAGCTCATCGACTTCAGAGGCAGAGAGCGACTAGTGATGTGCCATCTGGGTTTTGACGCCAGAAGACTTCAAAATGATCCGCTAAACATTATAATGCAAGTACTGTTGATATCCACTGCAAATATAATAATTATAAGAAAAATGAAGCCATTTCTATTCATGTATCCGCCAATTGTTCTCGAAGATGACAGTCGAATGACCTAATTGTGATTCCTAGAGATGAAGAAACATCTCAAATGGTACCACATTTTGGTCTGTTCATGGGTGTAATTTCGAGCAGACTTTCAAGAGTAATTCGGCTGTCAAGTCTTTTAATGTCTATAGGGCCACAGGCCCGTTCACAACATATATACAACCTACATTTCACACATGCATACAATCACAAGTTTGAGTTAACAATAATGATACGCTGGATAGTACGTGGTGAATATGTACAAAAGATATATATATCCTAATGAAATGGCAAGTCTTTTGATTGTCTAAGTTTGTATGGATGGTATAAACATGTACCTAATTTGCTCAGAAGTGCTTCTAAGCATAGTATATAATGGACCAACCCATGATAACTGTGGTTTTGACACATATAGATGGTAAATATTTTGATATTGGGATAGGCAAGCAAAGCTGAGACGGCAGACAGCGGAAGGGCGTGGAGATCAGCAAGGCAGGCAAACCAGCACCGAAGGGACGAACCGGACCAGCCAATCCAGCCATCTGTTGCCCAAGTGTCAACTTCACTCGTCGCTCCCCAGCCTCTGCCGACTCTTCTGCAACTTGTGTCAAGGCATTCGCCCTATCTCACAAGCATAATTAAGAAATAAAGCCACATCCTTGACAAGCAGCCTTGTGTTGTGTCAAGTCCATCCTCTCTGGGGTGTTACATGTCTCCTTAGGTGCATTGCTGTAGTGAATAAAGTTTAAGTGTTTCAAAGACGTTCTTATGGAAGGAAATTAAAATGACAAGTCCAACATAGTTTTTTTTCAAGGGACAATTAACCTTCACTCCTAATTCCACCAAGTCTACATATTTGAGATTGTACTGGGAATGAAGACTGCAGACTGTTTATAAAATGACACGCTGTGATACTTTCATGAATAAAACAAACAAACAACATCACAGGTGTTAGATATTCCAACAAACAATAACATGAGAATAATGTATAGCGAGTAAGACGTTAGGAGCTATTTGTACAGTGAGCGAGATATTCTCCCCAGAGGCCCGAGCAAAGAAGGTCTCAGATTGTTCCCCAGCCTGATTCTCAGACCTTTCTCCTAGGTTACAAGACTGTCCCTTAAGATCAAATACAGGTTATGGGTGTCCGACAGCTTGATGTGAAGTCGCCAGACTCCTCCAAGAGGTCCAGCTCACTGCTCAGAACCTCAAAGTCCGGTCTAGACTCCGATCCTGCACCAACACTTCGGCATCAGAGAGAACCCAGAACGAGAACAAGACCAACCTCATATCCTACATTTAAGTTCTCACGCCTGTAGAGGGAATCTGGGGCAAGTTTTCTAAATCCGTTCACGTTTAAGATTTGACTTCAATTTTATTACTATATAGTTCTTGGCTTGTGCATGCGGAGGTGTCAATGCCTGACATCTCCTGTGTCATGATCTTAGCATTTGTAGTTGCGGACTAGAACGTCATGCCTTACATAGAGAATATTCCAAGTTGTAGCTATACTGGATTTGATCAGGTAGGTCAGCATGACTCCACTGACCATAACATCATTATTTTTGAGGTTGTAATAACAGGCTAAATATCGCTGGATACGGGTAAAGAACAAACTCGCATCCCACCTGAGTTGATAATCAGCAGACTATAACGATGATTAGTAGCTAACATGTTGCCCGTCTGTTTGTGTGTTTTACGGCTGTTACCCCAGCAGGTACATGGCGACGGTTTGTTGAATATTGAGCCTGACAAGACAATCCTAGTTATTGACATCATGAACATAAGGATACAAATGAGGTGCATCGCCCAAGAGTCAGCGATCACAACCCAACTTGCCCCCCTCCCTCCAATCCATTTATTGACGTCGCTGAACATAAGGATACAATGAGATGTATCAGCCAGTCAGTCGGTCCTGACGGCACTTCCTCCCTCCTCAATCAAGTTAATTGACATCCTTGAACATAAGGAGGATACGGCTGAGATGCATCAACCAGAGTCACTGATCCTGACAGCACCTCCCTCAATCCAGTTATTGACATCATAGACACAGTGGCATACAATGCGATGCATCAACTAAGTCAAATTTGATCTAGTCCCCCCATACCTCCAATGCCGGTATTGGCATCATGAACGGCGGGATACAATGAGATGCATCAATAAATCCAAGTCAGTGATCCGCAAAGAGCACTCCTCCTCCTCAATCCAGTTATTGACATCATGAACATAAGGGATACAATGAGATGCATCGCCAGGTCGGGGTGGTCCTGACATTGCGCAATTCCCTCCGTCAAGTTGTTGGGCATTCGATGAACATAGATATACAATGAGATGCATCAGCTAAGTCAGTGATCCTGGATTACTACCTCTCCTCGCCAATCCAGTTAGATACATCAAGTGAATATAAGGAGGCCAATACAAGGATGCATCCAGCCAAATTCAATTGATCCTGACACACACACCCTCCCTCGATACAGTTATTGACATCATGAATTATGGAAAGGATGCAATACGATGCATCAGCCAGACTCAGAGTCCTGGCTTACACACCCCTCCCCTCAATCCGTGATCCAGGATTATGCAATACCGATCCTGACACACACCTCAATCCAGTAAGTCGCCTTTACGACAAAACAAATGCTGCTTAAGACCACTTCTACCCAGATTGTCGCGTGTCATCACCAGTGTTACCCGCAAGGTAGTATTACCTCTCTAGTGCCTGTTTATAGATAGGGATTTACTTACAACTCCGAGCACAGTGGTCTGGCCTGGGCATCCTTCCTCCTGTCGTCACGAAACGCATGACTTCCCTGCAGACTGCCCCGGGTAGGGACTTGCTCCTGAAAAGATGACATAGTCCAGTTGAAGCTTACATATTACTTCTTTGATGAATGTGAGTTTTAAACTAACATCCACAACATCCCTTAATTTTTTTAACATCAAATTAACACATACATTTAGTTGTAGAAGTATAGGATTAGACAAAGATATCAGAATTCTGAAACCGAAAAGCACACATGATTTGATAATGTTCTTGAGGCATGTAATCTATGATATGCTTGTAGTGTACGAATCCAACCATATTTCGCCATGCATTTATGAATCACATCGAACACTAATGATGCCAAGTCTTCACAAATGGCACAGTGGTAGTTTGACGATAGAAAATTATACATGTACAGCGATAATGGACTGCATTATGAAATGTGTTATGCATGACAGCGAAGTGTTACCATTGCTCTTTTTCACTGATAAGTGTAATTCTCACCCTACCTAGCGTAACGATCTCCCATAGTAAGATGCCAAAGGACCACACATCAGACTTGGTAGAAAACAATCTGTCTTTGAGAGATTCTGGAGCCATCCACCGGATAGGAAGCGGACCCTGTGGTACAAGACAGAACATGGCAGGAATTAGATTCCACTGTGACCATCTCACCCTGGTCAGTTCACCTTACAGGAATTGACCTACATTGGAGTTCCAAATGTCAGTAGAAACGACAAAAACTTTCCACATCCATAAAGAAATCTCTGCTAAGAACACAGTCAAGAAACGCCTTAATACCAGTCTTGATTATCTGTCCAAGTTTCCATCAAGGCGTTTAAAGCGAAAATAGTGAAGAAAATTATTTGATCATCGGTGATGGCACCTGGCGTCTTTGAACAAGTGTTTCACATCATCTGAATATAAGAACATTAATTTAGGAATGGCGATATCTGATCTTTCGAGCCCTCTTTGAAAGACGTAATGCAGGCGAACCAGTGAGCAATGAAAAGTACTTATTGAGTACTAGCATCTCAACCACGGTGACTGTTGTGAAAAACACAATGAGACATTCCTTACTTCAGATTTTGTTTCGTATGCATCTTCGTTTGTGTCTGAGAGTTGTCTGGCCAAGCCAAAGTCGGATACTTTACAGACCAAATTCTCACCAAGAAGCACGTTTCTGGCTGCCAGGTCACGGTGAATGATCTGTAAGATATATGCCATACATGAATCTCCTACCTTGAGCAACCCTCCCCAATCTTCGAGTCATAATTGGTCATATTTGGCATACGTTTCTTACTTAAAAAAACGCAACCAAACCTGGTACGCGACCGAACCTGGTCCATAAGAAGTCTTTGATTAAAGAGCCGATTGTACGATTTCGAATTTACCATGAACATGCGTTTATGAATCACTATCAAAATAGTGACAATACCAGGTTTTGCCGAAAGGTGATTGAGCGTTTCCTGCCCCACAGGTGCCGTCCTAAATACATGCAAAGCCTGGTCAACTGTTAGCCTGCACAGATCGGGAAACCTAAAACCGCCCATCTCATTGAAGGCACATCTCCTGTACAGTTTCCTAACTAGTTTTTAATGAAACCGCGTTTAAAATACATTGACATTCGAAAACCCAAACATATCACAGTTCTCACATCTTGTACTAATGTTGAAGTCACGATAAAGCAAAACAAAGGACATGGCGACAACGGTAAGCTTCTTTGATGTATCAATTGCATTGATCCATAATATTGATCATTAATTTCTTTATTTTATTTTTTTACTTCAAGTATAAGATCTCACTCTGTTATACTGCAGGTGTTTCATTCCTCTAGCGACCTGGTGCGCGAACATTTGTTAGTTGTTCAGATGTCAGTTCCTGTGTCTCGGCACTTGGACTTGGTGACCTTAGCAGACTTCCAGCACCCGGTTTCGGGCGTCTTGAGCGTAAAAGGTTGAGCAGATTGCCCAGTGGAGCAAGCTCCAGTAACAGCATATCAGAACCTGTGAAACACGTTAAGTGAATGATCAAGCTGATTTTCAGGACATATATCCTTTGTCGAAAAACGCCCAGTTAGAACCTTATTTCACAATATGTTAAAGACAAATTATAAACATTTTGACATCAAAGTTTGCCGCAGTGAACAAATTTAGACATTATGAATTTTTAGAAAATCTTTTTCCATTATAGTTGTTTTGTAAATGTCAGATATGGCGTTACGTAAAGTTTCGAACCTGCTTTGGTAGAAGAACTGAGATAGTTCACAACATGTGGATGCTTCGGTAACGACTTCATGAGTTCAATTTCATGTTTGAAGTCTTGTCGTACTGCCTCTGTGGCATTGCCTGTAACCAATGGAAACCAAACATCAAAACACCAGATGTGGAAGGGATTTTGTCCTTTCTATTTCCGAACACAGATAATTTAAGACGAACTTTGCGCTGAGCAAATTTAACAGAAAACCATACATTTCACATATCATCAGGATCAAAACGGTGCGTATCTCAACTATATGAACTGGGTAGCATCGCCTGGGACAACAGCCAACCCCCGTGTTGAATACTCTTACAAAATGGAACGTCTTCGGAGGTTTGAATACACACATAATATTTTTTGTTTTTGTTGTTCTTTAACACCACCCACACCCCTTATCGTGAGCATCAATCTGGGCAGATCAACCAAGTCATCGACCACCCGATCCCGTCAGTTACCTAAACCTCTAACCTGTCTGAGTGTCTTGACGGCTTCACAAATTAACTAAAACCGTTATAATACTTCCATGTATAACCATTCCCAAAGAACAATGCAATTGCTTCCTTGTTAAACTCTTGTTCTATTGTGAGGTTGTCATGGAGTGATTTCATGTCGCAAATGACAGAATATGCACAGTTCCATTCCCTCCAAAAGAGTACCCTGTACACAACCATCAAGAGCAGAAACCGATCACAACACAAACACTCACACTATATCATGCCATATATCTCCATTTGAGGCGGCCATACCTTTGCACTTCTTCACAGCCACGAAGTCCCACTGTCCACTTGAGAGGACATTGAGAGCTCGAGCCTTCCACACCTCACCAAACTTCCCCTCGCCAGTAGTAAAGGCAATCAACTCGAGTCTGTCAGGGACGAAAGGCTTTTCTTGAAAGAATATACACCCTGTAAATTGACACATAAATGTATGATTAAATCAACCAAACCCTGCGAAAATAGTTTTGGACGATGTGTGTAGGTCATACCCCAAACACAATTACCCAGTTTTCAATCATATAGCGATTCTTCAACCCACCTTTTGTACCTTCTGTGGCCAGTTTCGTCGCCTGCCGACACATACCACGATGACTATAAGACCCAGGAGAGCAGCTATTCCGACAGAAATACCTACAACCAGCTTCCACGTGGACGACGATGAATCTGTCCCAACATCAGATATCGTGTCATGAAGTTAAGCCATTGCTGAACAATTAAGTTTGAACATATTTTAATACTGAATGTTGTATTTTACTGAAGTGTAATCATTCAACAGAAATTGAAATTCAACTGTAAGAGTCAGTCTACACTATTGTGATTTGAAACTCAGTAGTCTTCATGCATCAAAACATAGCTGACCGGCTTTAGTATCCAATCTCTTTTTATGACCACTATTTCTTATTATAACTGGTGATATGTGTGAAAAGTGCTGTTTCTCTGAGACGTGAACATCTATATTTAAAATTCCAATGTGCATTCACAAATGTTTCCTATGTCTGTGGAATACAAGCAACTGGTATGTCATTAAAATGAAATCAGCGTCTGTCAGAACCCGGGACAATCCGTATTTTCCCATCTCGGACGTTCCTTGTCAACACTCCATTATGTCAGACCTACTTTGGAAGCACTCTGCTGTGTTAGATTTTGTGCCTGTCTCACATTTACTTCTCTCAGTACTATCCTACCCATCAAAGTTTAGACTCACTTAATACATTCACTATATGCTATGTATGTATATATGATTACAACGAAGATGAATTTCTCCACTAACTTGGGGAAACATCTGCAAACCTTATGCAGGTTAATTGCACGAGGATCATGCATCAAACTGCTCAAAATATATGCAAATATCGTGCATGTGAACAGCTGCGTTCTGGTGTAAAGAGTTATTAGAATTCTCCATTTTATCCGAGTTTCATCATTTATTGAACGCATGACAATAACCTTTTCAACGTTATGAATTTGTTTTACAGTACATCAGTTCATGTATAAACAGCACCTTTAAACAGTATGGAATATTTTGCAAAAACAAAGTTTAGAACAGTTGCCTGAAGTAAGTGGCTACATGTACACTAGACAACAGTCTTTTGCTTCAGTCTCACATGGACAACAAACCTTTGTTACAGTCTGACCTAGAAAACAACCTGTGTCTCACCTGGACAACAAGCTATCGCTTCAGTCTCACCTGGACAACAATCTTTTGTTTCAGTCTCACCTGGACAACAAGCTATCGCTTCAGTCTCACCTGGACAACAATCTTTTGTTTCAGTGTTACCTGGACAACAGTCTTTTGTTTCAGTCTCACCTGGACAACAAGCTATCGCTTCAGTCTCACCTGGACAACAATCTTTTGTTTCAGTCTCACCTGGACAACAAGCTATCGCTTCAGTCTCACATGGACAGCAATCTTTTGTTTCAGTCTCACCTGGACAACAATCTTTTGTTTCAGTCTCACCTGGACAACAGTCTTTTGTTTCAGTCTCACCTGGACAACAAGCTATCGCTTCAGTCTCACCTGGACAACAATCTTTTGTTTCAGTCTCACCTGGACAACAAGCTATCGCTTCAGTCTCACCTGGACAACAATCTTTTGTTTCAGTCTCACCTGGACAACAAGTTATCGCTTCAGTCTCACCTGGACAACAATCTTTTGTTTCAGTCTCACCTGGACAACAATCTTTTGTTCAGTCTCACCTGGACAACAATCTTTTGTTCAGTCTCACATGGACAACAAGCTTTTGTTTCATTCTGACCGAGACAACAATCTTTTGTTTCAGTCTTCACCTTGGCAACAGTCTTTCTCTTCAGTCTCACCTGGACAACAACCTTTGCCCCCATTTTGATATACCGCCGTTCACTGGTAGAAGGAGACACGTGGTGTATGTATCATATGTACACACACACTCGCGCGCGCACGCACACTGACATAGAAACATGAGTTTGCACAAATAATATTAACAGAACGGAACAGATATTAAACTTTCAATAGACTTTCAAGTGTCCATTTTGTTATTCTGGACTGCCTGTAGAGGTTCGATTCCGGCGGCGATATACCAATAGGGCAATAAAAGATGGTACTAGTCGTTAACCTGGCGCTCTGCATGAAGAGATAACATGAAGTGTTATACCGAGTCTCTGTGAAGGATATGAACTGGTTTTCGAGAACACGTGTTGTTAATGTTTCACATGTGTTTGTGTATAGCTACGATTGTACTTTTTACAGAAGGGATGTGGAGCATGTATTTCTGCCTTAATGTGTGTGTTCACCTAGAACCCTGTCCGACCATACATGAATCGAAATTTTATGCAACCTTGATGATTAATATCTACAACATTTGTGTGCATCTGGTTTGTCAAAGAATACATGCTTGATTGTTTAACAAGTTGGTATTTGTGATGACGCCCTAACCTACCTGCGCAGTCAATTAAGTTGCAGTTCAAAGTTGCAGTCTGTTCAAACGGCCCAGTGCAGTTTCCACTGTCGTTCTGTGGACTGGGATACAGGCAAGTCCTTTCTCTAGTGATGGACTTGGTGGCCGATGCTCCACATGTGACGTCACAGGTTGGACTGGTCCATTCTCCCCCACTCATTGAACCCAACGTCATCTGTAAATGTTATCATTACTTACCCCTTTTGTGATGTTTTGTAGTTAGCTTTGTAGTTTGTGTGGTTTCTGCTTTCAGAAGGTATATTCTATGATTATGTAAGACTTAGTCTTTTATTTCATTCTCTCTCTCACACACACACGCATATCCATACAACATATACATGCATATATATATACTCATGCCAATAATGGTTGTCACCCCTCTCCCCACCCCAACCCCCACACACCTCACACACCCCTCTCCAATTAAAAAAATTGAAGGGGGTGACAACCATTATTGGCATGAGTATATTATTATAATCACCTTGACAATCTGGAAGCTGACAATTTCTGTCCTCATATCTATATGCAACCCCAATGCAATAAAGTCCACATTTGTTGGGAAGCGGGCTGTCACATCGTCTGGTTTTCTGTACTCTCCTCGTGGCTGATGACCCACAAGTTACTGGACATGACGGATTCGTCCAACGCGTCCACTGGGAGAAGCCTCCGTTGACAGGAACGCAAACTAAGGCAGAAATTGTTACCGTAAACGATAGATTGTATTTTTATCCAGATTCCATTTAGAGTGAAAGCCATGTAGTGATGGAATTAATATGAATGAATGAACACCTGGTGTTCCCGAGAACAGTCCTCATGCTCTGATATTTCAGTAGTATTTGCCATTCACACAATGTACACGTCAACAATAATATATTGTATTTTTCTGTCACAAATACTCCTGTCTTACCACGGCGGCTATATATCAAACCTGATACAGACAACTGATGATACTACGCGTGGAGGATGGGTGAACACATGAATAGGAACAAAAAAAGGAATTACACAAAAATACGTACCGCCAGTCCAGTCACGTGTTTATCGTTTTATTACTTTGACAGAACTATTTATTCAATACAAATTTTCGTCTCACCTGGACAGTCTAAAAGGTTGCAATTTACAACTGCTGTCTCAGCAAAAGGTCCTATGCAATTCGATCCGCCATTGCTGGGAGGAGGGTTGTTGCAGGCACGAGTTCTCTGCACCTTGGCCGTGGCTAATGCGCCGCACGTTACTGCGCATGACGGAAGAGTCCACGTCGACCACTGGGAAAAACCCCCATCAGCTGGTGGGTAGAAAACATAGTCACAGTTGAGATTCACTTTCTAACGCAATTCTGATATTATTTAAAAGCCGTTTTTGTGTGTGAACCAATTCACTACTACATATATTTTCACAAAGTGAAATACCACCCACAATATCGGTTTCAGAAAACATCAATAAGAAATGGCTGTTAATGCCACGCGTCATGTTTATTTCAGGAAGTAATGTGATACGTTCAAGAATAGTGCACATAGTATTTTATCACATTTGAGACTACAAGTTTTCTAGCAAGATGTGTGTCTATTCTTATGGAACAGTCTACTAGACAGAGATTACTCAATAAAATATGCACTGGGCAAATGTCCCCTGTGTCTAAGACCACGATCACACGGTTATTCATGTTTCCTAACACCTGAATATTCAATAACACCCACAACGTCTTACAGCTTCATCACATCAACGTTGATACATTGCTCGCCACATTTGCTTCAGTCGACATATACAGGCTTGTTTACACTATATAGCATAGAAATATAGATAGAAAGCATAACAGTTCATCATTGTTCGCTGAAGGTTTGGGGTAAAAAGCTGCTGAATCACAGTGTGGTGGATATTTCACTTATGCAGCATAGTGACCTCATCAATGATATTCAGGATTCCTTTTGAATGTATAACCTCTTGCAATGTCATAAGACGTGAAAGGGAAACACGATATGTGAAAGGGAAACACGATATATGAAAGGGTTTCCAAATGATGAAATGCCTGTTTTGTGTTGTAGTCTGAAGCAAATTCATAAGGCGAATAAGCAGTAGCTCAATAGTTTCTGTTGAACCTTTCGTCTACGAAAACACAACATGGCGGACATATAGGACAGTGTATTGAGTGAGTATGTCGACATCTATATCCTAGCGGTATATTTGTCTTACGCGTGAAAACTATGTTCCATATATGAAGCTTTCGTTTTTTTTACCTAACAATTTAGTACGTTTCTGTCAGTGTTAATCCGAGCCAAGAACAGCCATTCACAAAGTTCTGAGCTTCGGAGAGAGGAACCAGACATGGCGCCGCTGTACACTGTTTTACTTTGTTTCACATTATTGTTTCTGACATAAAGTCATTGGAGTATTAAAAGATTATTGTACAAATTATATCTGTATTAACATATATTGCTATTCCGATTCAGTGTATCAATATTATGAAGGGTATATTCTTTTCTATTCCACATGTATCTCTCTACACTGTACATAGTTCTATTGAATGTATATGTATTCATGTACGCGTTGGTTGTGAACGAGCAGAATCGCTTTTCTGTACAAATGTTGGCGGTATAACAAGGATAGATTATACACAAAATACTGTATACAAGTGTCACTTACTTTGCAGGGCCACCGGACTGACAGTAGCCAGTAGAGTCAGAATACACGTCCACCAAGAATCAACCATCATATATACCACCGACACTCCAAACCAGTTGAATCCGTGAAATGAGATGCGCCAAGCATGTCATTGAACCGGTTTCGACAAGAACTGAATAGTTTTCGCAATACAAAACTAATCTCTTTTGTGAGTTCAATCAATATGCCCAGAATATTCGGTAACTCTCGCTTCACCTAGTTTGCTTGGATCATTACACCCGAGCACACAAAGACCGCGTATATGTAGTCACAACGGCACTAGTGTTCCCGGATTTCAGTAGACGGTCAACGGGAACGTGTGAAAGAAGAACCAGGAAGGTATTCCTCTGATTCATGCGTAGCACACCTTCACTTACCCATGCTGATGTCTCAAACCAGGACATATTGAAACACAATACACTGATAAATAAGGTCGTTTCATACTTTGAGTTCATGTGGAACCAGGATGTGTGGGCCACAGAGAAATAATTTGACCACACTGACAATTCAAAAGAAATTTCATATCGTCTCATTTCAAATCACACATGCTTTGGACGTTTAAAGTAATTCTGAGGCAGATTTTCTAATGTGGATTTGGTAGTAACTTTGTAGCTTCCTGTTACTGTGCCATTAACCCCCTAACCAAATCCAATTTTTTCGAAATATTTTCAGGAATGTGACAGAAGATTAACAGTAAGTTTTATTTATTTTATCATGAAAAACCAGCCATCATGCGACAAGTGATTGCCAAAGTGATAGAAAAGCAACAGGCAGCATACCGACGTCACTGAACGTCTATGAACGTCTGTCAAACTGGAAAGATTGTCGCTGAGAAATGAACCTCATCCGAAGTTACAAAACAGGACAGTAAGGCAGGTGAGGTGAGGTGAAATTGGGTTTAACGTCGTGCTTGAGAATATTTCGCTCATATGACGACGTGCATGTGTGTGTATGTGTATGCGCGGCTGCTTGAACTAGCCCAGACTGAAGCTGGTTTTATAGTGCTAGCCCACTGAGATACCATGCCGCAGTGAAGCATGAATACCCCACTCAGACACATTATAATGACTCGAGCCGACCAGTCCTTGTTGTACCCATTTAATGCCGAGCGCCAGGCAGGGACCAACAAGTACCATATTTTTAACGTCTTTTGGTATGACGCGGTCGGGGAACGAACACGCGACCTTCCGCTCTCCAGGCGGACTCTCTAACCACTACACCACGGAGGCGGTTCAGGACAGTAAGAGAAAACAGGTTGGTTGGTTGGTTGGTTGGTTGGTTGCTTTGTTGTTTAATGCCGCACTCAGAAAGATTCCAGCTATATGGCGGCGGGCGGTAAATAATTGACTGAACTAAACTCACTCACTCTTGACAGCAGTAAATACGAATATTCATCCGACCAAATCGCTTTCGTTTACTTTATCAATAGGTCACATTCTTCAAGATACACGCATATAAAATGTCATGTTTAATTGTCTGCATAACCAACACGGGTTTAGAGCTAAAACTAACAAGGTGTTTCAAAGCAGACTAAAACACCTCAGTGTTACGTGGTATATCCATTCAAAGCGGACCATAGCTCAACGGGGCGTACAGGAGCCTCAATACGCTTTGAAAGAAATTATTCCGTCGATGAATTGCGTAAATCTGGGTCAGATTTGTATGAAGTGTTCACAGACAAGGATATCAGTCAGTGAGTGAGTGAGTTTACGCCGCACTCAGAAACATTCCAGTTATATATGGCGGCTGTCTGTAAATAATCGAGTCTGGACCAGACAATCCAGTGATCAGCATCATGAGCATCGATCTGGGGAACCGATGACGTGTCAACCAAGCCAGACCACCCGATCCCGTTACTCACCTCTTACAAGCATGGGTTGCTGAAGGTTCATTGTAACCCGGATCTTCACGGGTAGACAAGGATATCAGGCCAAAGGAGGAAGTAAATTGAAAACCGGCATATCAAAGAGCACATGTAAACCGTATTCTTCAGCGTGTTATTACAACCTATATTCGATACTCCTTATTGACGTCATGTGCAATGATAGTGGCTGGAGTAATATTTCCATGGTAACGTACACTGTTTCGGTTGTTTCACGCCTCACTCACCAATATTCGAGCTAGAGGGCGGCAGTCTAAATAATCGACCAGACAATCTAGTGATCGGCAATGAGCATTGATCTACGCATTTGGGATTGGTTGACATGTGTCAATCGAGTCAAGGGTGACGAGAAAGTAGTGTATAGTAGGACTGACTGAGTTTGGTTTTACGCCGCTTTTAGCAATATTCCAGCAACATCGCGGCGGGGACACCAGAAATGGGCTTCACACATTGTACCCATTGGGGATTTGAACCCGGGCCTTCGGCGTGACGAGCCAACGCTTTAACCATTAGGCTACCCCACCGCCCCTGTATAGTAGGAGATAATGTTGAGTTAATACGCATTTTGAAGGGTGATTGAAGAATTCTATGTATTTTGCTGATTTTTCAACATAACCACTTCATAGGTCAGGTGTTTCTGACAGCTTGGAGGACGGCTCAGGATCTTACTGGGATCGAATGATCGTTTTGGTGGTTTAAAATAACATGAGAAATTACGGCAACATCGTCTGTATTATACTAAAAATATAAAAACGTAATGTCCCGGTTTTGCATTTTATAATAGAACTTAAACTGTTACATTATTGCGATTTATACTGTGTTGGTTATTTTACATCTCAATACTACATTAACACTGCTTGTCCTGCAGTCTCACATCCTGCTTGACAGGTTTTACAACATGGAGTCGATTTCTGAATTATGTGCAGCCTACTTTTGCTACAGGATTGAGTGTATATATTAATCATAGTCACAGTGACTGGCGTTCTGACTTCATTGTGAACACGACGGGAGCACGAACCAGCGAGGCTCCAGTAAATGGATCGGTGTGTGGCTTTCAGTGATTAGACTTATTTACCTTGATATCCGGGTAAACAGATAACAGACGTTGCGTTTATTTTCTTGTTTCATTCCGTGTCTAGGATAACAAAAGACAGTCATTTTATGTGTTCTTCATTCAATTACCTTGTTATTGAATTACAACACTCGGCAACAGTCTAGCTTGAAATCAGCTGTAAATATTCGAGACGGATCACCGGAACTCGGATATGATTACATGCATCAGCCAAGGAGCCTGGAAACTGTATGACGCCTTCTATTACAAGCATTGGTTGCTGAAAACCCGGATGTTAATGGGTGACCCCGACCATGACAGTATGTCGGTGACATCACGATGTAGCAGAACATAATTGAAGCGTCAAACCCATTTCATTAATCATAAGTGAGTATGATAGCACAAGTCAACCTCTTATGAAAGAAAACCAGACGGGTTGCAGATGCAGATATTCTACACAAGTTAAAGGCACACCCGAGCTTTCCTCATGGTTATAGCTAATCTGACACACCAGCTGAAACGTTAAAGTCTGAGACGTAAGTAGGGGATCACGAGACGCAAGTAGGGGATCACGAGACGCAAGTAGGGGATCACGAGATGCAAGTAGGGGATCACGAGACGTAAGTAGGGGGATCATGAGACGTAAGTAGGGGGATCATGAGACGTAAGTAGGGGGATCATGAGCCATAAGTAGGGGATCATGAGACGGAAGTAGGGGATCATGAAACGGAAGTAGGGGATCATGAGACGGAAGTAGGAGATCACGAGACGTAAGTAGGGGGATCATGAGACGTAAGTAGGGGGATCATGAGACGTAAGTAGGGGGATCATGAACCATAAGTAGGGGATCATGAGACGGAAGTAGGGGATCATGAAACGGAAGTAGGGGATCATGAGACGGAAGTAGGGGATCATGAAGGCGGAAGTAGGGGATCATGAGACGGAAGTAGGGGATCATGAGCCATAAGTAGGAGATCATGAGACGGAAGTATATACAGATATCTTTAAGTTAAAGGTTTACAAAAGTAGTCAAGTTCTGTTGGTTGAGCATATGTTTACTCCATTATTATCTTACACCCACTACAAATTCTTGTTTATCGTTTTCTCTTCAGAATCAGATGTCTTCACCGTGATTTCGCATCTAAGATTCTGCAGCAGCAACTGTAAAGGCAGAAAGGAATAGAAAACGGCAGCGTCAAAGAATAGTCAGTCTTGATAATCACCAAAATACATTGGTCTCAAATGTGGTGGCGGTCATAGAAATAGATTTCTTGAGAATCATTGACGCTAATGGTCAGGATGTCCTGCCCTGTCCTGGACCCTGCCATTGCCCCTAGCCTGCCCCCGTCCTTGCCCCTGCCCCGACCCCCTTGCCCCGTCCTTACCCTGCCATCGACCCTCGCCATCGACCCTCGCCATCGACCCTGGCCTGCCCCGCCCTTGTCCCATCCCCTGCCCTTGCATTCGTTAATAAATATAGGTTTCTATTCTTTCTCCAAATTTTCAGACAATTTATCCAAAATGGCAAATACAATCCGAACTTCATAGAGAAATTTTCTAATTGACAACATCTATGCAAAAAGTGGGGCTAAGACATTTTAGGCGGGTAGGACGCACTCAAGTATACCCCTGCTTATACTTATCTATTTCCTTTAGCTTGGTTTATTTTTGTTTCAACTATATCAGTGATCTGATTTTTTGATATGCATCACCAAACAGCCAATTACCTTCTACTGATCTGAACTAGAAACTAGAAAATGTCTTAACTGGAAACGTTCTGACTTGGGATCAGGCTGACTTGGTTGACACATGTCATCCGTTCCCAAATGTGTAGATCGATGTTCATGCTGTTAATCATTGGATTGTCTGGTCAAGACAACGAATATATACAGACCACCGCCACATAGCTGGAATATTGCTGAGTGACAAAACTTAACTCACTCGAACAATATTTATACACCTGCTGGTTTCCTACATTGGACTTGTAGAAAAAAGTCAGTCTGGTTTAAGGGATGCACATTGAAATAAGACTGAAAACCTAATAAAAGCAGTATTCCTCTCAAACCTTTTTCTTTTTCTCGATACTCAGGTTTGTCGCCAGTACGTAGCTGAGTTTGGTGAAAGCAGCTTGGGGCGTCATGTCCATGCCGAGAACAAGTCCACTCTGGACCAGATCCTGCAAAGTTACTTTGATGTAGAGGATGTCGTATTTAGACGTATCTTGATGTAGAGGATGTCGTATTTAGGCGTGTCTTGATGTAGAGGATGTCGTATTTAGGTGTATCTTGATGTAGAGGATGTATCTTGATGTAGAAGATGTCGTATTTAGACGTATCTTGATGTAGAGGATGTCGTATTTAGACGTATCTTGATGTAGAGGATGTCGTATTTAGGCGTATCTTGATGTAGAGGATGTCGTATTTAGGCGTATCTTGATGTAGAGGATGTCGTATTTAGGCGTGTCTTGATGTAGAGGATGTCGTATTTAGGCGTATCTTGATGTAGAGGATGTCGTATTTAGGCGTATCTTGATGTAGAGGATGTCGTATTTAGGCGTGTCTTGATGTAGAGGATGTCGTATTTGGACGTATCTTGATGTAGAGGATGTCGTATTTAGACGTATCTTGATGTAGAGGATGTCGTATTTAGACGTATCTTGATGTAGAGGATGTCGTATTTGGACGTATCTTGATGTAGAGGATGTCGTATTTCAGCGTGTCTTGATGTAGAGGATGTCGTATTTAGGCGTGTCTTGATGTAGAGGATGTCGTATTTAGGCGTGTCTTGATGTAGAGGATGTCGTATTTAGG